CGCGTCCATCATAGACTTTGTATGTAAACCTGCTGCTCCTGACGCTGAAATCGCGTTCGGTGTGAACGCACCATCACTCTACCCCGGCCCTGCTGAGCTGAGCAGAGAGCCGGCCGCCTCCATGTGTGGCGGCATCATAATTAAACTCTCAAATCTTAGTTTTATTTGCAACACAACAATAATAATGAACTAAACCAAACTGGTAGGAAAAGTACTGAAGGCTGTACCGGACTATCTAGCAAGTATGACACTAAAACAAGAGCAGGACGACAGAGAATGGTAAGCTAATTTAGCTAACATTAGCTGCTTCTTGTAGAGTTTAACTCCGTGTGAAAGAACTAAACAAAAAAAGTTAGTCACTACAAACAATTAACAAAGTTAATCTCATCTGTTTGACGTAACCCGACCAGTGAACAAATCAAATAAACAGTAACTGACGTCAGATCAGCCCAGCTCAGATAGAACCAGAGGGAAAGTAAACAGCTTCATTACTCATTTGTATGTTTACCTCTCTCAGGTCATGTTTATAGTTTGTTTTTGAGTAAATCTTTAGGTAAAAATTTTCTCTGTTCAGGGTGGATTAAGTGTTTTACTTTTTGTTTTTTTGTTTTTTTTCCCCAACTAGCAACCTAATAGATTCCTGTTTTGTCATATTTTATAAATATGTCCAAGTTTAATAATGTGTGAGAAATCCACAACTTTCTGTTTATTCAGTCAGTGTTTAATACAGCTGGCACAATAAATTTTATAAAATATAATACTGTAATTGTTTTTTAAATTTAGTGTAAAAAATTAGCCCTTCATATAGAAAGACATTGATTCAAGAGAAATGTCAGGTTTTTAGGAAAATGGCTGCTTATCAATTAATCATTAGTCGATCGATAAGATCAATCAACTTCAGATTAATCTATAACTTGCATCCTTAGGTGCAAAGATTATCATTTTTATATTTGTTATAGTGATTTATTGTTTTCCAGCTCTCCATATGTGAGTGGTCCCAGCTTCTCAAGCAGACTTTGCAAGAGAGCCCTCTACAGTTACTTCCAACGAGTTGCACAACTGGGTGGGCACACCTACCTGCTGGATCTTCCCACCTATCACAGTGTCAAGGTCCGTGTTAAGATGTGTAACACTAATATTTAGGGCTTATGTGAGTGTTTTGTTTAGCTTTATGTGTGTGAAATAAAAGTGAGAAGCAGAAATGTTCAGAGAGATGACGTGAGAACTGYTACATGTTGATCGTGTCAGAAGTGCCAGATTTAACAAGAACAAAACAGCTTTTAAAATAACTTGTCATATTTACAGTACATTACACTTTATTGTTTCACAGAAGGATGCTGTTGCGTACCAGACGGTTAAAGAGCTGGTCAAAGAACATTTCCTGAGCTTCCAAGCTGGACCCTGGAACTCAAAGAAGCTGGTGGATTGCTTCAGTGCTTAAACACTCACAGGAGGAGTTATCTCAATGTTTAGAAAAGTTCCTGCTAAGATTTTATTTGTTTTTGTTCCTTACTGCCATTTGCATTGTTAGTTTTAAGTGATTTCTGATSTTCTTTTGTATGTAACATTAAAGTTTTGAGTTTGTGTGGGTGTTTGAAAAAAAATAAACAAGACCTGACTGTTGCACCCAGTGCGCTGAAGACGTCTGTTTGAATGAGTTGTGGGTGGAAATGCTTTGCCTAAAAATGGAGAATGTTTTCTTTCTTAAGTGGAATGGAGCAACACTTTGCCTCTGTAGCCTTCTAGCCTAAAGCTTATACAAAAACAAAGCAGTTTATGTTAATGCACAAAATTATGCAGCCACTCGTGGACATCATAGGAGTGTTATGAACAGGTATATATTTCAGTTTTATTAGTTTTGATTTTTTTTTGTTGCATATATGAATATAAGCATTTTGAAGTCATATAAATATATACATTAGGGGTGCAACGATAGAGGAAATTCACGGTTCGGTACAATACTTTAGTGTCACGGTTTGATATTTTTTCGATACAAAAAAGAAATTTCCATGCCCCTTTTAACTTGTAATTTATTTATATTATGAACATTTGTTTAACCTCAAAAGTACAGTTTTTTTTAATTAAATGT